ATAGGGAAATCTTATTAGTCGCCGAGATGGGTCTAATAATTTTTTCCTGTCGGACACCACTTTTATTTGGTTCTTTTTACTTATGAAATATAAATATGTATTTTTTGATAGTTATTTTTTAAGACTGTTACTAATATTTTCGTTTATTTTTTTTTTTGTAGTAAGGTTAAAAATGGTTGTCTCACCCTCTTTCTCCTGTGTCAAATTTTGGTGATGCAATAAATCCTTTCGCTAAGTTCTATTTTGCTCTAATAAGGCTTCAGAACCGTGCCCTTCACGTTGTCGATGCCGCTAAGGTTTCTTCTGCCACTACCCCACTTCTGCGCCGCCCGCTCCGATGCCCAACGTATTATCTCTAATTTTACCTTTACAAGAGGTTGCCCATGTTCTTCCCCTTTCATCGTCATCATCAGTGTCTTCAGTGGTGTCACACTCCTTTCCGATTTCTTGTCCCGTCTGTACTATCACTTTCGATTGTCTTATCAAAATTCGCGCTGCATTTAAGGAGTCAACAAACATATTAACGCTTGAAGAAAACCTAAGCAAATTAAAAAAAAACAATATAAAAATTTAAAAGAGCAATACAATTTATCGCAAAATTTGTTTCTCGAAACGAATTATACTTGTATAAAATAGTGGTTCTGAACAAAAAAATTGTATATAGGTAGAAATAATAAAGTTAGTTTAGATTTGGATTAGGTTCTAAAACCTTTAGATTTTAATAAAAAAATAAAAATTTATCAATAAAAAGTTAATTCGTATTAAACTTTAGAAAATATATATTTTGGTCTTTAATATGTTAATATTGATTTATTTAATAAAATTTTGATTTCATAAGGTAAAGAGGGAGAGAATATGGTGGAGCTATCAAATAGTATAATGATTCTTATACCATTCATCTCACCAAGATGAATTAAAGAATATAAAAAACATTCGTTTCTAGTCACTGGTTACGTACAAATAATCATCATATTATTTTAAAATAGTTCTGATATTTCACCTAGATTTATTCTCGACAGTTGATTAATGCGTGACAACTAGGGATGGCAAATGTTTTAAAACGCATCTTAAAAATCATGTTTGTATATTAAAAAATGTTTTAAATACATTATGACGTAATTTGATCTGATTGCGTAATTTATTTATGATTACTGCAAAAGTTGCTGAATCTAATAAACATAGTAGAAAAACGTCGTGTCAAAAATGCAATTATTGCGAAGAAGACTGTTGATTCAGTTGATCGATTAAAAAACTTCCA